CCTTAACCCCTAATATAGAAGTCACTTGTCAAGTGTGAGTAAGAGGGGCCACAGGGGAGTGAGGCGAATCTGGCAACTCATGACTCAGAAGCCTTGAGGACCCTAGACCTATAATTACCCTAGGGTTTAGGGTTTAGGGTTTAGGGTTTAGGGTTTAGGGTTTAGGGTTGAGGGTTGAGGGTTAAGGGTTGAGGGTTGAGGGTTGAGGGTTGAGGGTTGAGGGTTGAGGGTTGAGGGTTGAGGGTTGAGGGGTGAGCCATTCAAACCAAGGGCAATGCCACCTCCGGAATGGCCCGCTTGCACGTGGCTGAGCGTCACGCTGGCGTGGGCCAGCTGCAGGCTACCAAAGGCGGACAGCGCGCCTAGAGGGCTTCTAGGACTTTGGGGGTTCAGGGGTTTACGGGCTTGGGGACCCTAAACCCTAAACCTGAACCCTAAACCCTAAACCTTAAATTTAAACCCTAAACCCCCAACCCTAAACCCGAAACCCGAAACCCTAAACCCTAAACCGTGGATTACAAAAAGGAACAAAAGTGCCTACTCCCGGGGTCCCGACCTCCGAACTCTGCCTGGGCGTTGGTCACCGCAAGTGTCGAGTTCACGACGTTGATGTGGTGGTTGCTGTGCAGCGCACCTGTAGGAAAAGCCTAACACTAGGGTTTAGGGTTTAGGGTTTAGGGTTTAGGGTTTGGGGTTTAGGGTTTAGGGTTTAGGGTTTAGGGTTTAGGGTTTAGGGTTTAGGGTTTGGGGTGTAGGGTGTAGGGTGTAGGGTGTAGGGTGTAGGGTGTAGGGTTTAGGGTTTAGGGTTTAGGGTTTAGGGTTTAGGGTTTAGGGTTTAGGGTTTGCGTGAGGTGGGCCTCTGGGGCAGTTCGAGTCCCACCCACAAACCCTCAAAACCCGACGCCACAAACCTGCAGCCGCCCTTCCAGGGCAGTTCTTAGGACCCCTAAACCCTAAACCCTAAACCCTAAACCCCAAGTTCTTAGGAACACCGGGCCTCCCCTGAAAGCGTGCGTTGTTGAGACCTCGAGAGTGGCGTTGGCCACGGTGAGGTTGCCAACCACATACAGGGCACCTGAGGACCACTTCCGGGTTTAGGGTTTCGGGTATAGGGTTTAGGGTTAGGGTTTAGCGTTTGGGGTTTGGGGTTTGGGGTTTAGGGTTTGGGGTTTGGGGTTTGGGGTTTGGGGTTTGGGGTTTGGGGTGTAGGGTTGGCTTTTTTGGTTTCAGGTCGTAAAGATGTGGGGTCCCCAAACCCTAAGACGCAAACAACGGAGCCTCCCGCATCGCCATCAAAGCCCGCATGCGAGCGGTGGATGAGCATGCTGCTGCCCGCAAGGTTGAAGAAGCCTCCGACGGTGTGACGAGCTGAGCTTGAAGCGGAGCCTACACCATAAACCCTAAACCCTAAACCCTAAACCCTAAACCGGAGGGGGGGAGGGAGGGGTAGGTTTAGCTGCTGGGAAGCCATGACTGGAGGCAGAGGTTTAGAATTCACAAATCTTCACTCTCAACTCACGAGCTCAAGACCCCTTAAATAAGCATAAATGAGAGCAAGGATCCGCATGTAGGAATGAAGGGGCTTGGGGTTTAAGGCTTACAGGGTTCAGGGCAAAGGTGTGAAGGGTTCTAACAACCCTAAACCCAAACCCCAAACCCCAAACCCCAAAACTCCAAACCAAAACCCCAACCCTAAACTCCAAACCCTAAACCCTAAAACCCAAATCCCCAAAACCCCAAACCACAAACTAAAAGTTGAAGGGTTAAAAGGGCCGTCAGTACTCAAGCGGTTGCTGGGTCTCCAACATCCTGGCCTGCGACGTAGATGGCACCGCCACAACTTGTGGTGGAGGACCCGCTGATTTCCTCGGTTGTTGGACCCTGAACCCTAAATAAACCCTAAAACCCTAAAACCCTAAAACCCTAAAACCCTACATAACCCCAAAGCCCTAAAACCCCACAAACCCTAAAACCCTAAAACCCTTAAACCCTAAACCCTACAACCCTGAGCCCTAAAACCTAAAGACCCTAAACCCTGAAGCCCTAAAGCCCTAAAACCCTCCAACACTCAAACCCTAAAGCCCTAAAACCCTAAATAACCCTAAAACCCTCAAACCCTACAACCCTGAAGCCCTAAAACCCTGAAACCCTAAAGCCCTGAAACCCTGAAGCCCTAAAGCCCTAAAACCCTCAAACCCTACAACCCTAAAGCCCTAAAACCCTAAATAACCCCAAAGACCCTAAAGCCCCTAAAGCCCTAAAGCCCTAAAACCCTCAAACCCTGAAGCCCTACATGAACAAGAGCACTATACCTGGGCGTCTCAGCTTCGAGGTGGGCCCTAAACCCTAAACCCAAAACCCCAAACCCTAAACCCTAAACCCCAAACCCTAAACCCCAAACCCTAGATGAAGAAGAGCCCGAATGCTCTGAGCTTCGAGGTGGGCGCCTTCGATGGTGAGGTCCCCGCCAGCGTGGAGCGCGCCCCCGCGGGCCCACGTGCAGGGATCGAAGCTCATCTTGGTCCTGTCCTCTCTCGTTGGTTCGTTTCTTGGGGGGGTTCTTTAAGGGGGTTTTAAGGGGTTCTTGAGATTTTTTTTTGGGGGGGGGGGGTTCTAGGGGGTTGGGTTTTTGAGGGGTTCTTTCCGGGGCTTTGAGGGATCGAAGCTCATCTTGGTCCTGTCCTCTCTCGGTGGGTTTTTCGGTTTTTAAGGGGTTCTTAAAGGGTTGTTAAAGGGCTCCTTAAGGGGTTCTTAAGGATTCTGTTTTAAAAGGGGTTCTTAAGATCGAAGGTCATCTTGGTCCTGTCCTCTCTCGGTGCGTTTTTTGGGGGCTTCTGAAGGGGGTTTTAAGGGGTTCTTAAGATTTTGTTGGGGGTTTCGAGGGGGTTGGGTTTTTGAGGTTCTTTCCGGGGCTTTGAGGGATCTCAGGTCCTCTTGGTCCTGTCCTCTCTCGTTGTGTTTTTGGGCATTTCAGGGGTTCTTAGAGAGTTTTTCAAGGGGTTCTTAAGGGGCTCTTAAGGGCTTCTTAAGGGGTTCTAAAGGGGTTCTTAAGGGGTTCTTAAGGATTTGTTTTTAAGTTTTACGGGGTTCTCAAAGGTTTTGAAGGGGTCGTTGAGGGTTTTTTAGGGTTCTGTAGGGTTAAGGTTTTTTGGGGGTTTTTAGGGTTTTCAGGCTTTGCTTTAGAAGGTGTTTAGGGTTTTTAGGGCGTTTAAGTTTTTTCTCTCGTAGGGTTTTTAGGGCTTTTAGGGCGTTTAGGGCTGTTAGGGCTCTTTTAGGGCTTCTAGGACTTTTAGCTTCGGCCTTGGAGCTTTAGGGCTCTTGACAAGGATGTGTCGGCTGCAGCTCATGCCTCATGCCTAGGCCGTAAATGCCTAAACCCGAAACCCTAAACCCAAGACCCTAAACCCCAAACCCAAAACCCAAAACCCTAAACCCTAAACCCTAAATGGGCCTGTCCTTGTCGGTGTACCTGGGTCTGTGCCGGTTCTGGCAGCCGATGATCCTGACAGCCTTGCTAGCCCAGACAACCATCTTATAATAAGGGTTTAGGGTTTAGGGTTTAGGGTTGAGGGTTTAGGGTTTAGGGTTTAGGGTTCAGGGTTTAGGGTTTAGGGCTTAGGGCTTAGGGTTTAGGGAACTCTTCCCAAAAAAAGGGAAAAGGGCACCACTAGGCTACCCAGGAACCGCGCCCGGGTGCAGGGTGGTGGCCCCGTCGATGGTGAGGCATGGCTCTGTGAGCTTCTGATAGGCCTCATGGTTAAAGGTTTAGGGTTTAGGGTTTAGGGTTTAGGGTTTAGAGTTTAGGGTTTAGGGTTTAGGGTTTAGGGTTTAGGGTTAGGGTGTAGTGTGTAGTGTGTAGGGTTTAGGGTTTAGGGGTTAGGGTTTAAGGGTTTAGGGTCGCATGCACCCGAAGCCCTGATACTAAACCCGTCTAAACCCAGAACCCCTACCCTAAAAACCTGTCTAAACCCGAAAAACCAAAAGCCTCAAGCCTAAACCCGGACCCTGAACCCTACACTTCCTACACTGTCCTACACCCTTAGCGACGGGCATTCCACCGTGTGTTCCACTGCGCTTTTACCTTGTCCTGGAAAGCATGCAACGCATTCAACTCCTTCTAGGGAATACCAGGTCACATGTGTCTCTTTGATTCGTGTCACCAAAACAGCATCCTTCTGGATTCTGACCCGTGGCGCATCGCATAACCTGCACCCAGCAGTGCCATAAACCCTAAACCCGAAACTCAGCCGCACTTGGAATTCCACCCTAACCGCAGCCGCGGTGCCATGAAAGCCACCGTGCCATACAGGTCGAGCTCCCGGAAAGAAATGGGCTGCCAAAGCCAAACTTCCACCGCACCTGCGGGGTTTAGGGTTTGGGGTTTAGGGTTTAGGGTTTGGAGTTTACGGTTTGGGGTTTGGGGTTTGGGGTTTAGGGTTTAGGGTTTCGGGGTTTCGGGGTTTCGGGGTTTCGGGGTTTCGGGGTTTCGGGGTTTCGGGGTTTCGGGGTTTCGGGGTTTCGGGGTTTCGGGGTTTCGGGGTTTGGACAGGGAAGTGAGAGGCTCTGTGGCTTTGGGGGGGGGGCTTCCCTTTACAGGAACCGACTTTCAGCAACCGACTTCAAGAGGGTGTCTGTTGGTACTGTACAAATGAAACATTTTGGGATGTTCCCCCTTTATACTGACTGTCCTTGGGATATAGTACCCCCTATTATTAGAATTAGAATCCCGATTAAGGACTGTTAGTAGAAGGGGGAACATCCCAAAAGATGTTGTCCATTGTGGTAACCCTAACTTACTCTGAGAAGGAGACTGCCTAAGTTGAGAGCTTAGGGCACAATAGACTGCATGACTGCCTCTGTAAGGCATGATCCTTTTCCAGATGTCGATGCAGTAGAACAGCATGTCGTATCATTAATAAGCACAACAAGGAACAGAGTGAAGCCAAGCAGCACAGAATCGAAATATGGTTAGACACACTGACAGATAGGTTGATGAGAGGGAGGGAGGGCGAGAGAGACCGACCGAGAGAGAGAGAGAGAGACAGCAGTTAGGATAAGATCCCTAAACCCTGAACCCTAAACCCTAAACCCCAAATTCTAAACCCTAAACCCCAAAAACCCTAAACCCTAAACCCTAGGGGATGTGGAGCTTCGGGTTTGGCACCCTCGGCGATGAGATTGCAGCCCTCTGTGATCTTGACTGGCTCGTCGACCTGCATCCATGGTATGTCGGGTTTAGGGTTGAGGGTTGGGTTTAAGGGTTTAAGGGTTTAAGGGTTTGAGGGTTGAGGGTTGAGGGTTGAGGGTTGAGGGTTGAGGGTTGAGGGTTGAGGGTTGAGGGTTGAGGGTTGAGGGTTGAGGGTTGAGGGTTAGGGCCTTAGAGTTCTGGGATCCTCTGCATAAAGGCCCGAGTGAGCTAGACTTTAAAGGATTTCGGGTTGGGGTCGTAGAGGCCCCCGCCCCTTCAGTAGCTTTATAGAGTTCTTCAGGGAGGGGGGTTCATGGGGGGTAGGTACCTAGGTAACCTTACAGCAGTAGGGAGTATTATGGAACCTTGGCTTACATCCCCCACCTTGAACCCCGTCCCTTAAGAACCCTATAACATCTCAATCATCCCACAACACTCTGTCACTTAGGGTATTCGTGCCGATGCTAAAGCCTTACATCCTTCTTCAAGGGGCAATACCGAGTCGTGCTTGAGCACAAACGCCACACCCACACCCTGGACCCTACTTGGAGGTTCATGGGACTTAATAACCACTGATAACTGGGCTTATAACCCTACTTATAATTGGGATAACCCCTAGAAGGCCCTTTAGGGGGATTATAAGTAGGGTTATAAGTACAGTTATAAGTGGTTAGTAAGTACCATGAACCTCCAAGTATACAGTTGACAGCAACGCAATGGGCCTGGCCCAATGTCCTGCGAGGCTGTTCGAAAACTCGTCCCCCCCCCCCCCCCCCGTTGGAAAGGCTGTTGCTAACCTACACCCCAGAAGCTGAGTAAGGTCTAAAATTGGGCTGTTTTTGTGCTACGGAGCCCTGCAGTTCGGCAACCCAGAAAGGCAGCCTAAACCCCCTGAAGTCCTGAACCCTCAGACTTCGAAACCCTCATGCCTTAAAACCCTCAAACTCCAAAAAACCTAAACCCCAAACACCCTAATCAACCCAAGAAGCCCTAAAACCCCGAAACCCCTAAAATATCCTGAGCCCCAAAACACCCCAACAAACCCTAAACGCATAAATAACACCCCTCAAAAAATCCTGAGAAACCCCAAAACACCCTCACAAACCCTAAAACCCTAACCCCCCCATTCAAAAAAACAAACAAAAATCATGAAAACCCCCCAAAACACCCTACCAAACCCTAAAACCCAAAAGCCCCCCAAAACATACTGAAAACCCCGAACAAACCCCTGCAACACCCTAAAGGCCGAAAACCCTGAAACCCCACACCCAAACCCAAAATTCTAAACCCCAAACCCATGACACCCGAAACCCCTAACCCTAAACCCTAAACCCTGAACCCCAAAAATCCTGAAACCCCTATTGCCCTGCCTGGTAGAGGCCTGAAAGACGCAGGGTCCCGCCCGGGCAGCTGCTGTTCAGCCGCTGCGGCTCCTACAAACAAGACAGCTTTGGGCTTTCGGGGTTCGGGTTTGGGGTTTGGGGTTTGGGGTTTGGGGTTTAGGGTTTAGGGTTTAGGGTTTAGGGTTTAGGGTTTGGGGTTTAGGGTTTAGGGTTTAGGGTTTGGGGTGTAGATTTTGGCGTTTGGGGTTTAGAGTTCGTGGTTTAGGGGGGTCTTGGGGTTTAGGGCGTTTGGGGTTTAGGGTTCAGGGGCTTAGAGACATGGCAGCAGTGAAAGCCGAACTCTCAACCTCAAGCCTTGAACCCTAAAAGGGGTTTGGGGGTTTAGGGTTTAGGGTTTAGGGTTCAGGGTTTGGGGGTTTGGGGTTTGGGGTTTAGGGTTTAGGGTTTAGGGTTTAGGATTTAGGGTTTAGGGTTTAGGGTTTAGGGTTTAGGGTTTAGGGTTTAGGGTTTAGGGTTTAGGGTTTAGGGTTTAGGGCAAGCCCCTAACATCCAGCCCGCCTGCCCCTCCCCCCAGGGCCCTCAAGCCCGAAGCACCCTAAATTCCTAGATACCCTCGACTCTTTACCTTGCAAACTGAAGCATCCTAAACATCCTAAACATCTTCAACATCCGTTCCCTAAACCCTAAACCCTAAACCCTAAACCCTAAACCCTAAACCCGAAACATCCCAAGCATCCCAATCCTTCATCCCCAAACCCCAAGAAACCCCCCAAACCCCAGGCTCCCTCGCCTCCTTCCGCTCGGAGAAGGCGCTCCGGGCGTGCTGACCTATCTTCGGGTTTTTAGGGTTTCCGGGGGTTTAGGGTTTAGGGTTTAGGGTTTAGGGTTTAGGGTTTAGGGTTTAGGGTTTAGGGTTTAGGGTTTAGGGTTTAGGGTTTAGGGTTTAGGGTTTCGGGGTGTAGGGTTTCGGAGTTTGGGGTTTCGGGGTGTAGGGTTTCGGAGTTTGGGGTTTCGGGGTTTAGCGTCTAGGGCTTGGGGTTCCAGAAGTCAGTTTTCTGGCGGGGGATCTTTTTTCGGTGAGAAAGGGTGCCAGGGCTCAGGGTTAGAGGGTACACCGGGCTTACGGGTGCCAAGGTGTGTTTTGCTGGCTTGAGAATTTTAGGGTTTGAGGGCTCTGGGAACCCCCTTTTCCCTTCCGAAAGACAATGCTGAGAGCCCTGCTTGTACATATTTACTTTGGCTTAGAGTTTAGGGGCTCTCCATAGATATTGCTCGAAACTAGGCCGGGGGGACGGGGCGATATTTCGCTGTTAAGACTGATGGAGGGACGCCCTGGCTTATGTCCCTGACCCTAAAACCCCTGAACTTATGGTTGTTTAGCGTTTAGGGTTTAGAGTTTAGGGTTTAGGGCTTAGGGTTTAGGGTTTAGGGTTTAGGGTTTAGGGTTTAGGGTTTAGGGTTTAGGGTTTAGGGTTTAGGGTTCAGGGCTTAGGGTCCCCAAAGCAAAACGTCCGAAGCGGTGCTCAGGCTCCAGCGTGCGGCGCAGAGCCAGGGTAGGGCGCACATGGCCCAAGCAGCCGCTCTCATCATCGGGGCTCCATTCTCGAAGGGCTCTAAACCCTAAACCCTAAACCCTAAACCCTAAACCCTAAACCCTAAACCCTATTACAAGGGGATCCTACTATTTGGGGTCCTTACCATTTGGGGCCCTTATTATGAGAGGATCCTACTATTTGGGGTCCTCATTATAAGGGGATCCGACTATTTGGGGTCTATTTTTGGGGGTCCCTTACTTTCGTAAACCCCATTGCAGGTTGGAGGGCTTAGGGCTCTACGGGTGTCACACACACCCTCTCAGGGCCCGCTGGAGCACCACGCAAGCAGGCTGAGCTCAAGATGAGGGCTTATAGGGGGTTTAGGGTTTAGGGTTTAGGGTTTAGGGCTTAGGGTTTAGGGTTTAGGGTTTAGGGTTTAGGGTTTAGGGTTTAGGGTTTAGGGTTTAGGGTTTAGGGTTTAGGGTTTAGGGTTTAGGGTTTAGGGTTTAGGGTTTAGGGTTTAGGGTCTCCTTGCACGTCTGCATGTAGCTCAGGCGCAGCACACAGCCACGTTAGGGCCCCTCTTTGCGTTTCCAGTATCGCGTAGTCTTGCCCATGATATCTTGCGGGTCTCCATGATAAGATCAGCTTTCCCAGCTTAATTGTCAAAAGAGCCCCAACTTAGGATGGACCCCTGTGTGGACAGTCTTTTCCCGCCTTGCCACACGCGGTTCTCTGCTGGGAGCTTCGCCGCGGCTTAGTGTGTCACCACGTTCTCCTCATTCCGCGCTAAGACTAGGAACTAGTCACTAGTCAGGCGGGCTTTGGAGCAGTGTCACCTGCAGTTGCCGCAGCAAGTCGTATAGGCAAAACGCCCAGCGGAGTCGTGGCAGGCCCCATTCGCGTCGCACGCGCAAGGACAGTTGCAGTGGGCTTTTGCAGTCTGGTCCTGGCTAGCGCGACACAGGTCGGTGGAGGTGGGGTAGGAAAATGAATCCTTGAACCTCCAACACCAAAAAATCCTGCCCTAAGCACAACACCCCCTGATCTTCATGAGTCGTGGAAAAAGTTCTTAGGGAAACCCTAATCCCGAAACCGCTTAGGGGTTTAGGGTTTCGGGTCAAGGGTTTTACCACAGTCGGAAGGTTCGGGTCTCCAGTTTGGTTGGAGGGCCTGGGGCTTACTGGGCTAAGAGGGCGAAACGCCCCTGAACCATAAACCCTATTCTCGGAAACCCCCAAGTCAATCCTTGGAGCGTGTGGGGCCTGACTTTAAGAAAAAACTCACCATACC